AAGGGCCTACAAGGGAGCCGAAGAGGGGCTCTTTGTTAGGAGCTCAGTGACAGGACAAGGGATAACAGGTTCAGACTGAAGGAGGGGAAGTTTAGGTTAGATATTAGAAAAACATTTTTTACTATAAGGGTGGTGAGACATTGGAACAGGTTGCCCAGGGACGTGGTGGCCACCCTGACCCTGGTGGTGTTCGAGGCCAGGATGAGGTCTTGAGCAACCTGATGTAGTGAGGAGATGTCCCTGCCCATGGCAGTGGGTGTTGGGACTAGATAATCTGTATGGTCCATTCCAACCCTTAAATTCTATGATTCCAATGCTTTACAACCCTTTCTGTGAAAAAAAAATTTCCTGATACCCAGTCTAAACCTCCTCTAGTGCAGCTTGAGGCCATTTCCTCTTGTCCTGCCACTTGTTACCTGGGAGAAGAGGCTGACACCCACCTCACTACAATGTCCTTTCAGGGAGTTGTAGGGAGTGAGAAGATCCCTGCTGAGCCTGCTTTTCTCCAGGCTAAGCAACCCCAGTTCCTTCAGCAGCTCCTCACATGACATACTCTCTAGACCCTTCATCATCTTCCTTACCCTTCTTTGGACGTGCTCCTTCTGGTGGTAATGGGCCAGGAACTGGAAACAGAACTCAGGGTGCAGCCTCACCAGTACTTGAGTACAGGGGAATGATGACTTCCCGAGTCCTGCTGGGCACACTATTTCTGATACAAGCCAGGATGTTCACAATTTCATTGACATTTTAATTTTAATTTGCTTCTTATTTTGGCAATTAGCTATTTTCTGCATCTTTTCTAGGTTATTTACAAGAAGTTTCAAATTCCCTGTGGTGGTCCAGAGCTAAATGCAACAATCGTATCAAATAGCTCAGCATATGAACATATGTGTAAGCCAAAGTATGTTATCTTTAATTCCAAGGTATGTTTCTTTTTATAATACTTACTTTAATTCACATAATATATGCACCTACACCCCATGTCCTTAATGCAGTCAGCACCACATAGGGCCTGATTCTCCATGCTTCCACTCGTGATCCAGTAGTGAACACACAATGGGTGTCCTTGCCCAGTCTGATGGTGAATGTACCTCCTTGCAGTCTTGTCCTGCCCCAGTAGTAAATGTGCTAAGGCTATGAGTCCAAGTTACCACTGGACGACAAATGCTTTCTTTAAGAGACTTTTCCTTTCCACTGCTTCTTATTATCCATGCTGCAACTGTGCTTTTAGGCTGTTCAGCAGTGGTTGAGTAAGCCACACCTGCATCCAGAGCCCAGAAGTAATCTCTTGTCCTTCTGCATACAAACCACTTCTTTGTGACAGGGTACGTGTTTCTGTAGCCCTGTGGTCAACTGGATTGTGAAAAGGATGCAGCTGAAAGTGAATTCAGAAAAAATCTGGTTGCCTTTCAGCTGGATGCTTTCCTCCATTACCACACAGCTGCAGAAAAAGCTGGTCTAAGAGAACATGAGAGAGCAGCTGGCTGTAGCTGTGGGAGCAGGAGGATGACTCCTGTCAGCTGTGCTGGGGTGCAGTGCTCCCAGTGAAATAGCACCTTATCCAGCAGGGCATGGTCCTTGGGCCCTCACAGTTGCATTCATACGGAATGTGCACGTATAGTGGACATACCAGTTTGAGTTGAAGAAGCCAATCCAAGCATTGGTTTTTAGTTGGGGGTAACCATCCGCCTAGATCTGGTGTGATGGACCAAAATTTAGTGAACTTGGTGTGTGATAGCAGTTTAGGTGTAGGTGTGTTTCAGATAGCATGGAAGGGCAGTCTTCTTCTACAGTGAGTGTCAGCATTTGCCTCAGAGCCAATGGAGGCACATTGGAAGGATCAGTTCATCTGAATTAGGCACACTGGAGCTGAACTTTTGAGGTTTGCCCTCTGGGCAAACAATTTGCCAGTCATTTTAGCAATTTTGGTGTGTGAGAGGAGAGACGGGACAGTTTTACAGAATCAGAAGATAACCAAGGTTGGCAGAGACCTCTGGGGGTCACCTGGTCCATCCCCCCTGGTGTGAAGCAGGACCACCCAGCACTGTGTCCAGGCAACCTCTGAATATCTCTACAGATGGAGATACTACAACACTAGTGTGAGTGTGGGAGTGAGGAAGAGGAGGTGGCAAAGGCCTGGGCAAGGAAGGACCAGTGGAGGGCAGCCAGTACATTTACTGAATCTGTCAGGCTGGGGTGTACCACAGCATGATTTCTGTGGGAAGGGGATGCCTGTGACCAGCACAAGCAGATCTCGGAGGGCTGGACAGAGCTGCATGTAGGGATGGACTGATTTTGTCCTCGCAGGAGGACCTATTTTTCATATGACCTCTGCTCATACCCGTTCCCTCAGGAGAATGAAAGTGCCTGAGTGCTGAGATCATTTGTGAAGTTTGTCTCTACGCTGAGGACTGAAACCGACTGAAGTTTTTAGTGGAGAAGGGGGTGAAGTCCCCCCAGAGGCCTCCTGCACTTCCTGGTGACATAACGGTCTTTCTCTTTCCCCAAGGAAAAGCATGCTCCCTCCACAGCCCTCCTAGTCCTTTTGTTGGCCTGGGAAATTAAGGGATTCAGTCTGGTACTTTGAAATATCCATTTATTTGTAAGTTCTGCATTCCTGTTCTCTTTTCTTACAGTCTGGATACGGGCTCCTCTTCAGGACTTCAGCCTTAGCACCTTGGGTGTGCAGCCCTCTCCATGGCAAGGCAGGGTAGTGTAGATGATATGTCCCTTTTACACATAGTCTGCTAGTAAAGCTGGCAGTAGCTGGGCAGGCAAACCCATGCCAGGGAGCAAAGCCAGCAGCAGCGTGGCACCCAGCGCTGCACTCTGCGAGCACAGTCAGGGCTGCACTCACGCCACCAACGCAAAGACTCTGTCTTCCTGTTTGAAAGCACACTGCTTTCCATGTCTCATTAAATATGTGCTCATTGCCAGGTCTTGTGCCTTCTCAGAAGGGCTCTCAATGTTCACTTGATTGAAGAGCCCAGTGAGTTGGGAGCTGAAGTAGTTGAACACGGATCATTTCTTCACACCACTGGGGGAAATACTTCCTCTTAACTTCTTTTCTGAAATTCTCTCTGAACAGACCGTGTATGCTTTGCCCACCATTGCTTTTGCATTTGTGTGCCACCCATCAGTCCTCCCGATTTACAGCGAACTTAAAGAGTAAGCCTTCTCTTTTTTTTTTGTTCCCCCCAGTTAATTGTTTTGAACTGTTTTGCACGGAAAATGTTACCATAGAGGTGCTCTGAGTCATTTGTGCCACTCAGAGATGTGCTGTAATAACACCCAACAAGCCAAGAGCGTGGCTGTCAGCTAGGAAATCTGGCCTCCCAGGCATGCCGTGCCACTGGGGCGGGAGCGTGGGAGATGGAGAATAATGCAATACTTGGGAGTTTTCTCTGGAAGTACACACAGCAGCCTGAGGAGAGCCAAGTTGTGCTGGTCATTATTAGGCATAGGAGAGGCCTCTGTTCAGCTAACAGTGTTCGTTCCAGTGCAACTAAAAAACTGTTGTGGCACCAGGAAAATAAAAGTACATTCAGCCTTACTGATATTAAGAGATCTTCTCTGGTACTGCGGCCTCACTGACACCTCTGGCTGGGCAGGGCTTTGGGGAGCTGGAGACCAGCCCTGCTGTGACATTGCTGGCAGCACTGGCAGCTCCAATGGGGTCCTGGGCCATGGGGGAGTCCCAGGGGAGAGGTCAGAGTCCGTCAGACCCATGAGTGTCCTCAGGCCCCAACCACTTGCTGGGTGCTTTGAGTTTCAAGGGACTTTAGCAGGTTCCCAGGTACCTATTTAGGGCATCCTTGTGTGGCTTTAAAAGTCTAAATTGAGGTACTGGAGTGTGAATATCTCAGAACAAATACCTAAAAATGAAATGTTTACATTTAAGTTATTTTATAGGTCTGCAGTGGTCTGCATACATCCAGCATTTTTTACCCATAGGGACACAAATGTTTCTTTGCAGTCATTCAGAATGTTTTTGTGGGTTTTTTTTCTCTGAATAATTTTGCACTTAATTCATTTTGACCTTTTAATTCAATTACTGAAGTGTTTGAGGGTGATCCCTCTCCACACGGCTTCACTCTGTTTAAGCAGATACAGCCATGGGGTAGAGCCACAGATCAGACCCACCATTTTTTGACCTAAGCCTCAAGTAGGGTCCTTTTCCTCAGTCCCTTTCTTCCTTGTGCAGCTCTCAGTGAACTCCTGTTTTAAATGAAAATGCATTCCCGAGTCTCCCCAGAATTACTATGTGTATGCAGCACTTAATACATTTTCAAACAGCTATTGAAAAATCCAGCCCAACCATTTTTATGTGTTCTTTTTTTCTTCTTTCTCCAGCCGCTCACAGAAAAAAATGCAGTTGGTTTCAAATATCTCATTTTTTGCCATGTTTCTGATGTACTTTATGACTGCCATATTTGGCTATTTGACTTTCTATGGTAAGTATGCAGTTCTTTACTGATCAGAGCAGAAGGGGGATACATGTGAAATCCTTAGCGTATCCCAGCTGGAAAGGAAAGTCCCATCCACTTATATTAAAATACTTTTCCAAATAATTTTCCTTACAGTTTTCATATTGAAGGCATTCTTTCTTCCTTTTCCCCTATGGATGAAAAGCACAAGTGAAAGTATTATTTGCAAAAGGCATATTCAAAATACAAGGGGGTGATTTGTTTAACAGAATTGGGGATTAGCTGGGCCCCACTAAGATTTTGTTCCAAGGACCTGATGTGAATGATGTGTGCATTGGTAATGACTGAAGCATGTATATCTGCAAAAAATGAGACAGATTTAAAAGCAGGTCCTAAGAAACGAGTAACAAATCAGCCATCACAGCTTTCACTTTCTTAGTGATTCTTTAGTCATAGAGGCAATAGACCAAATGTTTTCCCTGTGTACCTAGAGCTGACCTCTTTAGGTCTTGGTTCAACAAGCTGGCAGTGAAGGTGGGGAAGCTTCAAGTGTTGTCCCAACTCAGCCAACAAAGGATGGTTATCTCAGTGTTTGAGACTCCACCCTGTTTCTTTTCATGTGTATCAATTCACTTAAAGAAACAAATTATGTTGTATCACTAAAGGATACAATATGTATGCCCTAAAGGCACAGTTATTAAAGTAGAATAAAATGTGAATGTTGCCCAGGAAGTTACTCCCATGTTCCAGTATAACGAGAATGTTGAAAATTAGTGTCTTTTTCCATGGGCCATTAAGGGGTTACAAGACAGGTGACAAAGCTGATGTTTGCCTTTTACCTCAGTCACCAAAAGGTCATCAGTCTTCTCCACCCTATTCCAAGTAACCGTTTTGTTACAACCTCCTCATTCATGATACTGTCCCTGTGAGCCACCTATTGCGAGAGAAAGAAAATAAGTAAATATGAAACATGGCATTTTTTTTCTTTCAAAGGTGTACCTATCTCATATTTGTTTTCTCAGACTCTCATTCTGATTATGAGGCCTTGAGTATACATGTGTTGAAGTAACTGGAGGTCATCTGTTCTAATTTTCCCAATAAAACCACAAATAGGCTGGAAGTGACAACAGCATCAGCCGTTCTCATCCAACTGCTCCCATCTAACACATTTTCGTAGAGATGCATCATATTAGCAGCCCCAGGGAGCAAATGGGTGTAAATCAGCATGGACCCCTTCGCTTTGGCAGGGAGGAGATTCTGATGTGATTGCCCCAGGGATCTGAGGAGGCAGATCCGTGGCGCTCCTCTCTGGGAATCTCCCACATCCCTCAAGGACGAGGGTCTGGAGTCCATGGAGGAGGTAGGGGCTGCGTCCTTCTGGCCCTCCTGAGGGGGAACGGCGGAGGAATCCCTGGGGTGTCTCGTGTGCCTCTCCCCATGTCAGGCATCCCTCCTTCCCAGCACTGAGAGCCCACAGGTGGGAGCCATGCAGCTCTGCTGGGGCTTCTGGAAGTGTCAGTGCCATGACACAGGCAGCAAAAAAGACACCGAGGGAATATAAAATTCCTCCACTTTGATCCTTCTTCCCCTTGAGACTGACAAGACCTTACCTTTCATATGTTCACTTACAGTGTTCTAACCCTCTTCTCTACCCTTACCTGGGTAAGAACAGCATTTTTATTGTGACCATTTCTTCTTTACACCAGTAGTACTTGTCTGTTTGCTGTGTTCTCGAAAGTGTTGCAGTGATGACTATATTTACATTGCAGAATTACAGAAAAGAGGTGTTTTTCTTCCCCTAAAAGGTCACAGTGTGGTTGGGCTCTGTGGTGTATCTAGCTGAAAGGAAAACAGACCTTCAACTGTAAGCCTTGCCCTTCACTTCCTACCTGGCTGCAGCCCGTGAGCGGTACAGAAGTTGCAGTCTGTGCTTGCAGGAGCAGAGTAAGCTCTGTGTTGCAGAAGCTGTGCATGTGCCCGGCTTGAAAAACCCCACTCCTGATCTGCAGGGAGGTGGGAGAGCATTTTTTTTTCTCCTGATGGGGATTCAAGCACTGCATAGGTGGTGTTGACCTATGGTCTCTCCCCAGAAGGGTGCCCTGGGGGGAGCATAGGCATTTTGCCACAGGACTGATCCCTCAGCCTCCAGGAATATATGCGGTTTTACCAAGTGCCAGAGATGGTAAATTAGAAGTGGCCACCAAGTTCCCTTCAAGAGCTGTTGTGTTTTACCATCAACTTTCTAAGATTAGCAGGCAGAAACAAAACATGAGCCTAAAAAGGGGCAGCAAGTATGTTTTATGGCACGCTTAAGAGCCACCCCCTTAGGTTATTGTTCCTGGTTTTTTAAAAGTTACAAAGCAAATATACAGGTCCCTCAGCAACTTGGTTTTCCTGTTGGTTAGTACATGCAGACCTGCTCTGCTCTATTTATCACAGCTTCAAGGAAACATTTTGGCAGGAGGTCGTATTAAATATTGCTAGCGCCTCCCTGTTAGGCACTCCCTGTGATTGTCTTGGCTGCTGGGGCCACTGGCCCATGTGGGGCTGAGCTGCAAGCACTGCTGGCAGCCTCAGAGGATCTGTTGAGGGATTTGAGTGTCAGAGCGTCCTGCTGAGAGCTGACCCAGGATAGGCTTTGTTCTCAGTTGAGAACAGGGGCACTGCTTTTTGCTGGAAGTTTATTTGCTGTTTAGACTAATTTAGCTCAAAACCTTGCAGTTTATATTAAGCTCAGCCATTGCAGTGCATGTGTTTATTTTTATATCATTTGAAACTTTAAAAAAAAAGAAGTCCACAGAACCAATTAGAAATAGCTTATTTCACTTTACTTATTTTTGTATGTATGTATATATGTAAGCAAGCTTTCGTGTATGTCTCACTGTTGTCTTACTTACAGTGAAAATTACCTTAGACTTAGGCATGTGCTGTCTTGAATTAAGATGCATTCTTAAATCAGGCCTCCAAAGGATTAATCTGGAATAATGGGATCAGTGGGATTTTGTTCAAAGCACTGTTTTAACTCAAGAATGTTTCATTCCATACTCTTTTGTTTACAGATAAATCACTTGTTGTTCAAGAAAGCTGTTGTTAAGCAATGATTTTTGTGAACTCATTGCCTATTCACCAGAACACTTATCTTACTGTCTTTTCCATAGAGGGTGTGCAGTCAGACCTGCTTCACAAATACCAGAGCAAAGATGACATTCTTATCCTGACTGTGCGCTTGGCTGTGATCGTGGCAGTGATACTCACTGTGCCGGTGCTGTTTTTCACTGTAAGTAAAAAGCTCTGCAAAGTGTGAAAGTTGGTAAGGACTGTATGCAGCCTTCAAACCACAGTCCAGCAGTTGCTGAGACCATAATGTTACAGCTACAAAAAGAGCTTCAGCTTGATTCTTTTCTCACACCAGACTCCCACTAACTTCTGGAGAAGTTCTCCATTCAGGAAATAAATTAATTGCTTTTGGTCTTAAATCTGTGTTAAATTGAATCCACAAGGGCCCTCTCTTACTTCATGTTACTTCACTGAAGCAGGCTTAGAGGTGAAATTCATTTTTAAGTGCAGAAGGATACCAAAAAGTGTGTTAGAAAGGGAGGAATGCTCTACTGCACATACATGTGTACCTACAGTTTTGAAAAAATCAGATGACCCAAAATTTTTAACAGGTCTATACAACGCTTGTTGTTGCATGAAATTATAATAAACATGAGAAGCTTCAAATTGGCTCACAGACTATTCTTGCAGAACTTTCTCTCTCTCTCTCTCTCTCCCTACAGGTGCGTTCATCGTTATTTGAGATGGCTAGAAAAACAAAATTTGACTTATGCCGTCACGTTTCTGTTACTTGTGTTCTTTTGGTTATCATCAACCTGTTAGTCATCTTTATCCCATCTATGAAGGATATTTTTGGAGTTGTAGGTACAGTATCCTGGTTTTGTATTACCAATAAAAGGTGGTTGCTAATCAGCAACACAGTAATTAGCTGTTGCTGACAGTTAACAAAACTCACTCACTTGAATTTTGCAGGGGTCACTTCTGCCAATATGCTGATTTTTGTTCTTCCTTCGTCGTTGTATTTAAAAATTACACAGCAGGACGGATCAAAGTTTACACAGAGGATTTGGGTATGTATTCTGTTCCCATCAATGCAACACTTTTGTTGTTCTTTACATTGTGCTAGATGCAAAGTGCTCCTAATCTGAACATATCTGTGAACTTCTTTACATTACTTTTCCTCTGTGCTTCAGTTATTTGCAGCTATGCTAACCCTTCTGCTTTACTTTCCCTGTGGGTCCCAGTGGAGTGGGTGTACCACGCAGGGCATTTAGTGTTTTGTGGGATCCTTCTCTGTGAGAGTGAGGGACTCTCCCTGGCTAGCAAGTGGCTGCTCTGCAAGCAACAGTAGCTGTCAGCAGGGTGAAGGAACCCCTCCAGCCCACCTCAGCAAACTTTTCAGCCCAGCAAACTCTCTCTGTTTCTGTGTGTTGATGAGAAAGCATGCAAAGCACTCTTGTTTGCAGTATTCCTCACGGTTTTAATAGACCAGAGTCAGGTGGTTCCACCAAAAGCAGCCAGCTGAAATGTTATGTTAGCCCTTTGGCATGCATGAGCAGATGGGAACGGGCCTTGGAAAGGTTTCCTATGAGCCCCAGAAAGAGCTGCAGCTGAAAAGATGGAACACTCCTGTGTATTCCTAGTCTAACAGGGCATGCACTGGAAGCATTGTAAGCTCAGACCTTCCTTATCTGAGCAGACAGGCAGGAAACACGTGTTTCACTTGTGGCCCATGACAAAAGGGCTGAACTTTGACGAACACATACCCAGTGGGAAGAGTAGACTGATTTCTGTGAGGCTTTGGAAGGAGCAGAGCTGATCGGTCCTAAAAACAGACTCACTTAATCCTCTTTAGGGATGATCACTGTTTAAGAAGTGAATTGAAAGGAGGAAAAAAAATAGGTTTGGTGTTCAGTGAGTAATTATTAATGACGCTAATCTGTATAATTATCTATGGGTCTTGTCTTTTCCAGAAGTGCTATCCCATTTGAGCCAATAACTTTGATACATCACCTTGTACATCTCCTTAAGAGGAGAAGTTACATACTTGAATTAATTGTCTTTCCTTTTTATTAATTAATTTTGTCTCCTTTCTTTTTTTGTTTCAGGCTTCTCTTTTCTTGGCACTGGGGATAATGTTTTCCCTAGTGAGCATTCCCTTGGTCATCTATGACTGGGTACAATCAGGAGGCAGTGCTGAAGGCCACTGAAGTTCATCTCCTTCTGAAAAGAAAACTCCCGTTTGCTACACACCAAAATCGCAACCATCGTTCTGTTATCTATTCCATCTTTTGTGAGTTTACTCAAATCAAATCCAAATAATGATTATCCGGTACTGAAACTACTGTTCTGGGTATATTTTCTTGCAGAACACAGACCCATTTTTCCAACAGGCACATCACTCTGTCCCCCAGTAGCTACCAGATCAGCACGAAGTGTGTATTAGTTGTCTGTGAGACTATACAGAGCATTGCTGATAGGAATTTGTCACAGTTAGTTTCCCCTCTTCCACCCATGAATTGCATTGTTCCATTATTATCCTTAGGCCTTCAGCCACAAGCTCTGCTCCTTTAGGGCAGCAGCACCTGTTGCTATCAATGCCAGCTTGAGTGATGTCTGTTCACACCCTTTGTCCCCCCTTTTAGCCAAAACTCTGCTCTCTAATTGTATGCATCCAGTTTGTTGGTTTGTTTGTTTGTTCTGTTGTTGTTTCATGCACCATTTGCCTCACTGGGTTAAGTGTAGCATTCTGGATACAGGCATGAAAAGCACCACAAGAGTGTAACTTAGTGCTGGATAAGTGTAGGTCCTAAATCTGGTGCTTCTCTCTGATGTTCTGGTGGGGAAGCCAGTCCCAGGATTTGGTCTATTCATGGTTTTGGGGAAAAACTGTGTGTGTCTTCATTATGGGGTGCAAGGAGCAGGAGAAGGACAGTCACTACCACCAGCCACTATTCTCCTGGCACACTTCTGTTGGAGCCTGACCAGAACTAGACTTGACCCCAAACCACAGGTACTTGAGTCTGAAGAGAAGATTCTGAGATTTCCATAGGAAGTCTGCATTTTCTTCAGCGTTGAACTGTTTACTAATGCCCCACTGCTCTCCAAAAAAAATGCCAAGCTCCAGTTTTATCAAAACCTACGCATTTAATCATATCTCATGCCTTTTCCATTCTGGGATTCATTTGTACATACCTTGTAGGGACTGGCTCCTCTCTTGTGTCTTATCCTCCTCCCACTGAAGTCAGCAGTCTTTGACAGCAGCGGGAGCAGGATTTGACTCACCCTACCAAACTGCTGGATTTCTAATGGAAATTGAAATCTCTGACATTTGTTTAAACAAACAGAAATACTTTTTATATTTAAAGGTTTCATTTATATTTTTCATCAATTCTCCATAACAAGTAAAAGGCATTCAATTACTACTAGCAGAAACACTGTAACTTGGATCTGTTGTCCACAGAATAAGCATTTGCCCAATGCCTTATAACTGGTGTAGAGAACTACTTGTAGAGACTCAAATGTGAAGCAGGTGGATTGTTCACCACCTTGAGCATACATCTTCTATTAGTGCACTGCCAGCAGCATAAACATGTTCACTTCATGTCATTCACCGTGTGAGCTAAAAGGTGTCTCAGAATATGAACGTGGCTCCCACTGAAACAACTGATGGCTAAAAGGAGTCCTGCTTCATGCCCAGGGGCTGAGTGATGCCCTTGGTATGCTAGAGCCATACCTGTCAGTATGCAGTGACCCTCTTGTTCCCAGTAGCTGGTTCATTGACAACTGCCATTGTAACTGTGAAAGCAGAGTGTCAGCTGTGAGGAACCTGTCATTGCAACTTGCTCTTTTAAAGGTTAGGGGTGGAGTGTTTGGGATCTTGGGATTTCTGTGAGCTGTTGAATTGCCTCGGTTGCCATTGCCTTGTCCTACGTGCATGGATTGAAGTCACTGAGAGTTGAGACCCCAGAACACTTCTCTGGACCTTGAAAGTGGGTTTCTAAGGGTAACATCCAGAGAGGTTAGTTTGGGGCCTTCCTTGGGATTTGGGCATCAAGATGCAGTGTTCATGCTGCAGAAACTAAGACTACTAGGTCCAGACTTCCAGATCTGTGCGTTAGCCTGGGCAGCAAAGTACCTGCCTCTGATAATACTCCACTGTGATCCAGAAATAAGGCAGAGTGGACTCCACAGGCTGCCCAAGACCTTGCAGCAGCTCAGCAACAAGAACAAAACTGGAAGCCTCCTCCCTCCGGGCAAAGTGACCTACTAGACTGCAGAGTGCAAGGTTCCCTTATTCTGCCTCCTCCTGTCCCCTCAGACCCTCAATAACAGGCTCCCAACAATGTCTCTGATGTGACATCCTTCTTCCCAAGCACCCCCAAATCAGCCTTTAACACACAAACTGCTGAGCTACTTGGGAACCCCAGGCTAAGGTCACTTGTGCTTTCCTGCATCACCTTGCCTGTGATGGTGCAGGCCACCAGTTCTCTCTGTGCTGTCTCTTTATGGGACTGATCCCTGCCCTTATTGACAGAGAAGTCCATACCAGAGCCTACAAGACCAGGTGTTAGGCAAGCTCTGGAGAGAAGAACCTATGCTTTGTTCTTTTCTCTACGCACCTCACTCCAGGCATTTTCCTGGCTTGAGATGTAAGTTTGTGGCTCCCCTTTTGCAGGCACCCATCCCTCAGTGGTCACTGCAGCAGGAGTCCAGCATCTCACTGCATTCTCTGACTCGGCTTGCTGAGGTCACATTTCAGGTTTTGAGGTGCCTTATAATCTCTCTGGATCTTATCCTAAAAAATCTAATTCGGACCTGAGAATGCTGTACAGTGTGATCCTTAAGATACTCCATGCTTTCCTCCCTCTTTATCCTTCTACTACTGATTAATGAGCAACACAGTCTGTGCATCAGGGGGTTATGAGTGATGAGATCCTGGGAGCAACTTTCAAGTACCCAGGTATGAGCTAGAGGCCTGATGTGCTGCACAGGGTTCCAACAAGGTCACATCTGCGACACCTCCCTTTCACCCTCCACCCCCAAAAAGTCTGTAGTCTGCTGTTTGAAATACCAATCATTGAGTTTTGGCACCCAACTTCCTTCGATTTGAAGGGCTGTTGGGTCACTGGTTACTCCTTGCATCTTCCTAAATCTCCTTCATCACTGTCCCTCTCTCTCCTCTTTGCTGTTCTGCCTTTTCCCAGTTTATTTGTATAATGGAGATTTACTGGATAAATAGGGAGAGCTGGGTGTGCATAGAGTGAAATTACCCAAGGTACTGGACCACCAAAGCATATGTTAGATCCTGAAAAGTAGATACCCAAAATATTAAGTCTTTAAACAGACTTTCGTTTTGGGTCTCTTGAAAAAAAAAAAGAGGGAATTTTGCTTAGACTGATTTACTGGCATCATATTTATAGATATTTATGGAAAGGAATCATGTGTTTATTGATGTCTGTGGTAATGAACGTGAAATAACGTGCTTTTTGTTTTCTCATCAGGTTTATACATTCTTAACAGAATGCAATAGACCCTGCTGTAAGTGTCAACATCAGTGATGGATGACAATATTTATCTGTAAAATGTACTGCTGTTATTCAGTTCATTTGGAATAGTAAACTTGTAGCCAACGATTGTACGAGTCCCACATTTTAGCTAGGATTTTAAGAGCACAGTGAAATGCTATAGGAGTTTCTCTGTTGTTAAATTAATAGGATCCAGAGTACCATATCTACTTAGTAGGTGGTAGCATGCTTTCTTTTCATAGAGAGTTTATCACTATTGTGAGCACTGCAAATGTCGTAGACTGGATGCAAAATTGCTCCTAATAAGTACAACAAAAAAACTTGAAAATTCTCATTTGTGTAATAGCAACAATTGAGTGGTGAGGGACAAGGAAGGACTAATTAGAAGCAGGGGTTACTATTAAAAAATGGCCTTGCTGCCTCTCCTAGTCCACAGCGCATCGCAAAGAAAATAGTCATGGGCTTAAAGCAACCGTAAAACAGCTGCCCTGCTCTGTCTGATGGAAAATACACCTAGTAAGGAAAGCAGTAAATTCTTTCTTGAGAACAGTATCTCAGGAGCAGAGACCTGTCTGGGTGGTGCTTGCTCCTGGTCAGAAGGCCAATGCCAAATCCGTGCGCCGGCACAGACCAATTGTAGAGCTGACGTGGACCAAGTGGTGCCTGGCCCGAGTGCAGGCCTAGGGCAGAACAGCTGGTCCCATCCTGCAGGGATGGGCATGCTCATCCACTCCTGAGGGCTGCTCTTTTGAGCCACATACAAACCCATAGCCTGTGCTTCACTTGCAGTAGGTCACACGTGCAAGTGTGGGTTGGATGGTATGTGGGTTGTGTCTGTACATCTGCCTTACGATGCATAAGCGCACCACAGCTCTCTGATGGTAACAATCAGTGGTATCTCTAGCTTAGCTTTAAATGAATATGTTTCTTTGCTTGAACTTTACATTAAGGCTAAAGAGCATCTTGGTCAAAACTTAACTCTTTCCATGTGGTGGTGTCCCACCTCCAGTCCTACTGTCCCACCCCAGTGCCTGTAGGAGAAGGGCACCACAGAATGTACTCAGCTCCATCAGCAGCACCATGAGATGGCTTTCTCTGGCACCAGGGTGCTTTCTTAAACAATTCCCCAAAGCCCTAGGTGTCAGAAAATCCTTATTTCCTATAATGTACACAAAGAATGTTTTATTTGTATCTAATGTAAGGATTTCTGTAACAAACTGTGAAAAAAGAAGATAATGAATTAATAAAAAGTATAGGGCTGGAAAGGTCTAAAATTCACAAATTGTACACATGCCTATGTTTCTGAAGACAAATCTATGCAGTTGTGTTGTATTGTAGGAAATTTCATTTTTCTGTACATATATATTGTAAATAAATAGGATGCTGTATATTTTTGCAGTTGTTTATCCCCCATTATATAGAAGTGTTGAGATAGGGCCTGCATATTAAGGATAATTTTAATAGAAACACAAATACTTTAGCTTCTTAGCAAAATGTATATCCCATTCTTTCTCCCAAGACTTCACAAGTTAAATCCTAAACTCAAAATTATAATTATATCGCTAATGTAAGATGAAAAAGAGAAATAAAAGGTCCAGTGAAGTTGCTAGGATTAATTCCGGTGCACGACTCCCTGTTTTTTCAACAGCAAGTTTGCCAGTCTTCCTGTTGGGTAAAATATCTTCCTTGTAAAAGGCCCCTGTGGTATCCAGTTACCTCTTACCTCCTCAGCTGAGGTCAGGTGGTAGTAAAGTGCTGAAAAGGCTTTATGCAGAAATCATGGCAAACTGCAGCCAGCAATTTGACCCAGTGTTATGCCATGTTGTATCCAGGCATGTATTTACCCAACTAGTACAAACAGAAGTCAGGGTAGAACTTTGTTTTGCCATTTTCAGCTATCAGAAATGCCTGTACTTCAGAAAAATGGTACTACAAGCTAGGGGTGGGCAG